AGTAGAGAGAGAACCGTAAAACAAAAAAAAAACTCCTCCTTTCTGATTTGTGAATTTTTAATGTGATTAATTTGGTGCGCTAAGAATTCCAAACTAAATAGAAAGGAATTAACTATTATAAGTATTATAATTATTGTTTGTAAAAAAAACTTATTAGAATTCCAGAACGAATAGAAGTTAACAAATTATAATTATTGTTAGTAAAAAATATTTAATGTAAACTATTTAATGATTATTTTTTATTATTTTTTATTTTTGTAATAATCAAGAACCCTTTTATATTTGATTTGACGAAAATATTTGTGCCTTTTTAATTTGGTGTCATTAAGAATTCCAAATTGAATAAAAAGAAGTTAACTATTATAAGTATTATAATTATTGTTAGCTTGGACTGAAACTTAAAAGGATCTGATAAAAAAAAATTAAAAAAAAAACCTAAAAAATAGTGTTGCAACCTGGCTTGTCCAATCTATCAAAAATATTGGGAGGTACTTAAACGGGACGTTGTTGGTGCTATTTCTAGCTTTTTTGCTATAGGGAATTTGTTATCCAGTTTTAACCATACTAATATCGTTTTAATTCCTACAATTCCCTCTCCGTAAGTTAGTCATTTCCGACCGATTTCGTTGTATAATGTGTCTTATCGGATTATTGCAAAAATTATGACTAACCATTTGAAAGGGATCATTGGCTCCCTTACCAGTGATTCTCAAAGTTCGTTTGTTGCAGATCGTCATATTACGGATAATATTTTAATTACTCATGAAATTTTACATTATTTAAAGAATAAGAGAAAAGGAAGTAAGGCGTGGATGTCCTTGAAGCTTGACATGAGTAAAGCTTATGATCGGATTGAGTGGGCTTTTTTATTGCATATGCTGTATAGGTTGGGATTGAATGAGCATTGGATTCAAATGATTTCTGCATGCCTTTCCACGGTTTCTTACTCTTTAAAAATTAATGGGAATTCGGTGGGTTTTTTCAAACAGTCAAGGGGTTTGCGTCAGGGTGAGCCTCTTTCTCCCTATCTTTTTATTATATGTGCCGAAGCTCTTTCCCTTGCTTTTCTGCGCGCTTAGCAAGCCCGGTTGTTATCTGGTATTCGTATTTGTAGGGGCGCTCCATCTATTTCTTATCTTTTTTTTTTGCTGATGATTCTATTGTGTTTTGTGCTGTAGTTCCGGAAGAAGTTTCTGTTCTGAAACGCATTTTGGCAGATTATGAACGGGCCTCTGGACAACAAGTGAATTTTAGTAAATTCTCTATCTTTTTTTCCAAGAATGCCTCTGGGTCGGTGCGCCGCTCTCTTAGTCGATCTTTGGGATTGCAGATGCAGGGGTGGCATAGTCAGTATCTTGATGTGCCGGCAATTTTGGGACAATCCAAAAGGGATGTGTTTCAGTTTTTGTTGACTAAAATTCAGGACATGTTATCTTTCTGGAAGGCGAAGTCTCTGTCCACGGGTGGGAAAGAAGTCTTGATTAAGGCTATGTTGAGTACTTTACCTACGTATGTTATGTCCTTATTTAAACTTCCCATTACTTTGTCTCACGATTTAATGAAACATATTCGGTCCTTCTGGTGGTGTAATAAGGATAAGAATCGTGCAATTCATTAGGTTCACTGGGATCTTCTTTGCCGGAGTAAGAATTCGGGTGGTCTTGGGTTTTATGATTTGGAGGCGTTCGATGTAGCTCTTTTGGCAAAGCATGCTTGGCATTTTCAGGTTACGAAGACGGGATTGGTGTATCAACTGTTTAAGGAAAAGTATTTTCCATCTTCGTCGTTTTTGGATGCTTCATTGGAGTCTAATCCTTTATGGGGTTGGCGCAGTGTTTGGTTTTCTCAGTCTTGGTTACGACAGGGCTTACAATCATTGATAGGGAATGGTTCCTCCACACATGTTTGGAATGATCATTGGGTCCTTGCGCTGCTGCATAAGCTCTCACCACCCCTGGTTTATGCTCCTTTCTCTTCTGTCATTTCTGTGGCGGATTTGATTGATCAGGCAACGTTTTCGTGGCGAGTGGATGTCTTGGTTCAGCTTTTCCATCCTCTTACGGTTCAAGAAATTCTGAAAATTCACATTAGTAGGTGGAATAAGCCGGATGTTGTTATTTGGGCTTCGGAGAGGTCGGGTAAGTTACTCGTCCGGTTTGCTTATAGATTGGCTTCTTCAATGTCCATGTTTTCTAGCGTTGCTTCTACCCATGGTTCTTGGTCCTCTATCTGGCGGTGTCGTACTCTGTTTATGGTGCAACACTTTATTTAGCGGTGTTGTCTCAATGCTTTGCCGGTTCGTGTTTCTTTATTGGCTCGGGGTTGTGATGTGTCGCCTTTATGTCCTCACTGTGGTTTGCATGAGGAATCTGTTGTGCATCTTATCTTTTCCTGTCCCCATTCAGTTCAAGTGTGGAAGGCATTTCCGTTGCGTTTTGATTTTTCGCATTTTTCATTTTCTTCTTTTCGGGATGGATGGTGATTTATGGTGCAACGGGCTTTGATATTCTCGGAATTTGATGGTGTCCTTAGTTTGATTTCTTTTTGTCTTGAGGTATTTGGAAGGCGAGAAACCGTTTAATCTTCGATGGGTTTTTATGGAGGCCTGAGTTTGTTGTTCAGAAGGCGGTTGCCCATTTTTGGGAGTTTTCAGATACTCGGTCCCTCTGTTCTTCCTTAACTCCGGCGCAGGGTAACACTTTGGTGGATTCATGGCGTCCTCTTCCTTTTGGTATTGTTAAGTGTAATTTTGATGCTTCGTTTTCTCAGCAATCCTTACGGGGAAGCGGGGGAGCAGTTTTTCGGGATTTTTGTGGTGCTGTGCTTAAGACGGTTATTTTCCGTCCATTTTCTGCTTCTTCTTCTCTGCAGGCAGAATCTATGGTGTGTCAGCGTGCTATTTCTGCTTTAGAGCTGGGTTTTTCTAGCTTATGGTTTGAATCGGATGCCAAAGTTGTTGTGGATGGAGTGTTGAGCGGGGGAGACTTGTCCATCGAAAATTGCTCCTATTTGCTTTGATATTAATTTGGATCTTCGGCGATTTTCGTCTGCCTCTTTGACTCACGTGCTTCGTCAGGGTAATAGGGTGGCTCATGCTTTGGCTTCTCCTTCCGTTGTGTCGCTTGCGGTGGCGGATTCTAGGTGCTCTTTGTTGTAGGTTTTTTTAGGGTGTTTTGTTTGTCTTTACCAGGGAAAAAAAAAAAACCCTGACTTGTCCAATTCCACTGATCTGCAACGGCTTATCCAATCCCACTGGCGTATCGGCGTGCATTATAAGGTAACAACAGAGGAAAAAACGAGCATCTACCATACTCTCTTCTTGAAGGGGCTCTGTACCCTACTGCGCTTTCTCTCCTTGGGATTTGGTTGGTCTTCAGTGTGATAAGGTTCCAAGATTTCAATCTAAAAGAATTCGATAATCGCTTGCTTCTATAAGTACGTGTTCTCCCTTTCTGCCTCAACCTTCAATACCATCTATACTGTTGTGGATACCTATATTTCGAGTCCACAGGGCAAACGCCACATCATCAACAATGGCCTATACAGCTCGGTCAAATGGTCAACGAACTACGCCACATCAGTAGCAATGACCTACATAACATGGTCAACGGTCAAAGTTACCACGGCATCAACATACTTCGAACAGAAGAACAAAGACCTGAGTTGGGAGCAGGACTCAGGATTTCCTGGGATCTGAGGACGTTTTGGTTTGGTGGCTGAAGTCCAAGGTTCGCCGAGTCGACACTCAACCTGACTTGCAGAGAGAGAAATACCATCTTGACTCCCCGAGCATTTAACTCCATCTTATTTAACGTTACTTTATAATTATTTGAGAAATTAATCTCTTTTATGAGAAATTAATCTCTTTTAATTATTTTGTTAATAGACCTTATGATGTCATTGATGACATCACCCACCTTCACTTGGCCTATAAAAGGAAATAACCTAAGGCTAAGAAAAAGGGTAGAGACAAGAAGGAAAATTCCTCCTAAACTGAGAGCTCTAAACTCTCTCTCTCTCTCTCTCTCTCTTTAAGATGGGTTGTCTTCATAACCCCTGAAGATGGATCAAGGAGTCAATGGTATTTTCTATATACACTGCCATCTCTCTCTCTCGCTTGCCTGGGCTTCCACCTCTCTCAATCCACCTCGGATTCCATCATGTTACAAGATTTACCTCACCATCTATTATTTTGTGATGATCTGGAACCCGCCTGAAAATCAGGTATCTACAACTGTCAAGGTTAGGTCGATCTCTCTCCATCCTTCTCTTTCCTCCCCCTCTCTCTCTAGCTTAATATTTCATCTGATATAATATTATTGATAAATTGGACATTGATGGGGTGTGGAATATGTGAAATGATGGTGGCGTTTTTCTGTTCCAAAATTTTGAATCTATTTGATAGATAATGTATAATTGTATATAGATAACCCTCTGACTGAGCCAAGCTGAGCATCCCTAACTCAGGTGTAGTACCTAGTTGTTACAAGATCATTTGATGCGGATGGAAAAATGATTGGGGATAAATGGTTTGGTATATAACATTATCTAAAAATACCCAATAATTTGAGTTTTTGGATTAATGGATAAACTCCACTCCTTATCGTTAATATCAGAGTCAAACCAATTATTGATCCAGTGTCACGTCAAGCGCTCGGCTTGAAAGGTATCCAAATGAGTCACACCGAGTAAGTAGGGTTACCCGACGACAATGAGAGCATTGCGAATTTGAGCAGAAAAAAATGTTACGAAGGTCATTTGTCCTAGCACTACGCAATAGTTTAGCTACCCGTTACACCGGTCCAATAAATACCGGTCCGTCACTAGCAAATAAACTTTGCGTTTTGAAACAAACCACATCGTATAAAAGCGAAGCCCCGCCCAGTACCTCCAACTACTGTACAATTAAACGATGCGTTTTAGTCAATCGTCTAAAACCTGCTGTTTGCTGTTTTAGGTGTTTTAGGGTTCATTCAGGTTTCTCTTTTGGACACGTACTGTAAACACAATTTACAATTTGAAATCTTTCTTTATTTCTCTATATTGTAGTCCGAATCTACTAAGAACCTGCTAAGAACTATTAGTTGAATTTCCACTCTGTATTTGCGTTTCTTTACATTCAGTTTCAATCAAGTTAGTACATTTTAAAATGTCTCTGTATTTGATTTACAGACATAAATTAGGTTGTATATATATGTCTATATGAGCAATAATTATTATTTTCATTATGTGTTTCAGGTTGTACGAGTTTGGAAGCCTATGAGTAGTGAAATTATGGGCTCGGTTACTAGTGAGATTAACTCTTTAAAGAGTGCAATGTTGGACGAAAGCAAGTTTGATGTGCACCTCAAATTGTGGGCGCTTCGAATCCCTCGTGAACTTTGCAAGGTTGCCACTCGGATACTTAACGGGTATGCCATGCCATGTTTTTGGCTAAACTCTGTGAAACTTTGTTAAGATTATATGGTTTGATTACAGTATATCATGCAAATTTACTACATCATTTACTCACTACCCAATTAATTTGTCGTGCTTAATATGATGAACTTTTTTTTTGTAATTTTGTTTTAGAAGTTAAATCTAATTAAATTATCTATATTTATACTAATAAATTGAGGGTGGGTCTTGGTGCAACGGTAAGGTTGCTCCATTGTGACTCATGGGTTCGAAACCAGAAACAACCTCTCCATGTGGAGGTAAGGTTGGGTACATCTGACCCTCCCCTCTGTCTGGCAATGGTAGTAGCCTGGTGCAGTGGGCTAGCCCTTTTTATATTTCTACTGATAAATTAGAAATTGTTGATGTTTTCAATCTTCAGGTGCCTTAAAATTAATTGTTACAGAGAGGAAGCTACTCTATATTATTGTTATTATTATTATTGGAATTCGTAAATTTAGTACTGACTACCATTTTTTGATGTGAACTTAACTACCTTTTCACTTGGTAACGAGTAAGAATTGTTGGATAGGATGGATTTTGTGTTGTTATTTTGCAATTCCGTGACTTGGGTGCTTTTTTATCTTGGGGTGCGGTTTGGAGCATGGAGCCGGTGGTATTTATGTTTAGTCTAGTTTTTTAGATACTGTTTTATCACTTCATAAAGCTGCTATCATCTTGCAGCTTATATGATTTGTGATCTCAAGTTTAGAATGCAAATGGAGCAGAGTTCATGTCACCTAATTATTCTTTATCATTTGATAATTAGCTGCCATATGAATAAATACTTACTAGGGCCCTGAGCTGGTTAAATAATGAACTCTCACTGCTTAGTGCTTACTACTATATTTGAAGTTTGTTTGTATAGGACGTGCTAGAAGTATCCAGTAAAAGTGAACTTTCATCTTGCTTCCAGTCTTTCCTAGAGGATCCTTGTTTATTTTATTTGGGCTACTCTTTTTTCTCAAATAGTTTTGTTGAACCTATGATTCGTGAAATGTTCTCTGTTTTGTGTGAGATCTATTTTACAAGTTATAGTTTTTTTCCTCTCCTTCTTTGAAGAAGAAAAACTATTGTTAAAATAGTTTTCAACTTACTCTTAGACTCCTTCTCAGTTTATGAACCATTGAACATTGGTCTGTCTGTTTTTTATCTGCAGATACATGTTTGACAGGCCCCGCATCAAACCTGTCACTCAAGATCCAACATGTGACAAAAATCGTTATATAATATTATCAGAAAAGGTTGAAAATTGTGGTAAGAAATGTTGAAATCCTTTTCTAATTTTATTTTTTTATTTTTTCCAATGATACCTATAACAAATGTTATGATAAACTGGCTTCCAAGTTCTAGATGGTGGCCCCTTTATCAGCCTTTTGGCCAAGAAGAAGATGTAAAGTGAATGAATAACCCCACTTTTGAGTTCTGACATTTTTGCTTCCGAAATTTTGATTCACAAGTATATTTCATTTATAGTATTCTTATACTGTTATGTATTAGAAATTCATGCAAAATTGCGCAGTCAACGTCTTGAATGGTTAGCTTTTGGATATGGTTCATTTGAACATCAGTTTTTAGGGTGTAATGCAATCTGATTTTTGGCCCATCATGAACAACTTACCATATACTGATTATTCAACTATGGATTTGCTATATGGTACTACTTGCATTTTTGTTATACCCATCTTTAAATCAGTTCTAGTTTCATCTGTCAACATAATTTAGCTGAGCTGAATGCTTATGACATGAACATATAATTATATGACATTTCATCATTTTTTGTGTAGATGATGTATTAGTTTAGTTAAACACTTAAACATGCTTACCTTACTTTTATAAATATATTTTCTTTTTGCACAGATTTATCTTATATTCCTTTTCAAAAACTTGATGAACTAAAAGCCCTATGCAAGATTGAAGTAGTTCCACATTCCTTGACACTTGGATATTCCTATTGGGGTGCAGGTGAGTTGTTATGCTTCCAATGAATTAGGGATTGGCAAAACCTTTGGGCATTAATTCTCATGGAGTACATTCTATAATTTATATGTATGTTCTTTGTGATTCATTTATGCAAATGTCATAAGAAATAATCACATATGTAAAGATTGCTCTTGTAAATGAAAACTTGGAAGCTATGTTGATGGGACCGGTAGTTGCATTTGATTTTATATATAATTCTGAAAATTCATAAATAATATTTGTAGGTTTGGGTTCTTGAGATGATGTGTGATGGAGGTGTTACCTGTGACATTGTAGATCTTGCCGTCTTGATTGTATTGGTTAAACTTTGAAAAAGAATCCAGAGGGTTAACCTAGGAAGGGATCCGGGCAAAACTGGATTAAGGGATGGCAACAGGGGGCATCTCGAGAAGTAAGAAGACTTCTCAAAAATCTGCAGACTTTTGGAGGTTGAGTGTGTAGTAAATGAGAAGAATAGATCTTTATATCGTGGTGGTACGCTCAGTTATTGTGGTTAAAGCCGTTGGATAAAAGAGGATGAGACTTGAGATTTTACGAAGAGCTGGCCCTTGCCATGTGACGAGGTTCAGAGGTAGTTGCTTATGCCGAATATAGCTATTGGGTATGAAAATTCATTAGATGTGGCATGATGTGTCAAAGGTGGAGTAGGTGAGCATTAAATAGGGTGAGGTAGCCACCTCGAGGTGTCTCGTTCCTTTTACTTATAAAAAAAAAAAAACCTCGTTCTTTTTGAGCTTGCTTCAAGGAAGGGTCTCTCTTTGGAGGAAAAATCCTCTAAGTACCCTAGATTCCAGACTCCAAGCCTAGTTTTCCTAGGATCCCACTAGTCAACATTCTGCTATTGATGAGGCTCTAAGTCCTGCTCTCAACCTAGAGATCTCTAGCGAGAATGTTTTCTTTTGATTTCTTTAGCATTCTTTGAGCCATTAGAAAGTCTATTCATAGGAGATGAAGTCTTCATTATGGAGATAATGTTTAATGCATCCTCGAGGTTTATCTGTAGGAGAGGAGCCACTCTAGGTCTTTGTGTGCCTCCACGAGATTTAGCCGTAGAAGAGGAGCTCCTCAATATTCTTGTGTGATCTCGAGGTTTATTTGTAGGAGAGGAGCCCCTCGTGTTCTTTGTTATGTCTCTGAGGTTTGTCCATAAGAGAGGAGCTCCTCGAGGTCTTATGTGATATCAAAATTTATTTGTAGCAGAGGAGTTCCTTGAGATCTGTCATGTCCTTGAGGTTTATCCAAAAGGAGAGGAGTTCCTCGAGGTTTATCCATAGGGGAGGAGCTCCTTGGGGTTTCATGTAATCTTGAGGCTTATCCGTAGGAGAGGAACTCCTTGAGGTCTTCATCATGTCCTCGAGGTTTTTCCATAGCAAAGGAACTCCTTGAGGTTTTCGTATAATCTCGAGGTTTATCTGTAGGAGAGGAGCTCCTCGAGATCTTTGTCATGTCCTTGAAGTATTCATAGGAGAGGAACTTCCTAAGGTCTTCATCATGTACTCGAGGTTTATCTGTGGGAGAGTAGCTCCTCGAGGTCTTCATAGTGAGAAATATTGTACAAAAAGCGCTATGTGGAGATCATAAGTTAAAATCACGACTACTGATTGCCTTTGTTGCTACTTTGCGGTGCTTACATGGTGATGAGTGGATACCTTGAACCAACAATATTAATTCATGTCAATAAACCTGATTTACTCCATTGACACTTTTATGGACCCATTTGGTTTGAATTAGCTTGCTTATTTAACAACTGTCAATGAGTGATTATACATACATCCAAAAGGCCACAAGATATGATTAGCCTCTTGAAACTTTGGCTGTAAACTCTACGATCTTACCAAATTGACCAAAAGTTCTACCCCCCCTTGAGTAATCCTCTTAAGAATGTGCGGTAGGATTTTTGCTTTAATCTTCGAGCGAAACTTGTGGAGACAAGATGCATGTCAAAAAGTAGGTTGGTGCATTGTTTTTAGGTGTTTACAATCTATCTAACCTGTCCTTGTATCTTGCATTGATCCTCAGTTAATCATTCATTACCAATGTTATGTTGTGCTGTTCTCTGATACAGTATTCTCTTTTCAAGAAAAACAATAGGGAACAATTCGAAAATTCGTTTTTGTGTTCTTTGAAAACTATTTTATATTTTCACCTTTTTAGCCTATTTTCAGAGAAAAGAGCCAAGCAGGACCCAAGTCTATTTATTATTCAGTAAACCATTCCGCGGGATGTGAATTCCTTCTTGAACAGTCCATAATGTTTTCAGCACCAAGAGTAGTATGTTATAAATAAAATTTTATGAAGTGGAGATGGAGAAGTTAGAGAAAACTACCCCTTTGGTGGAAGTTTTTCCAACTTAATTCGCGAATGCAGAAGTGAGAAAGCAGATGGATAATATCCTGACAGAACAAATAAAGATACAGTAGTTCTAGCTAAAAGTGGCAAATATTTCCAAGTTATATTGCAATGTCTGTGCATTCTTCATTGATTTTATCTCCACTTTTCTTTCACATGCATATAAATTCTTAAATATATACAAGTTTATTCGTATGACATTGTGAGTTCACAAATACACAATTTTTTATTTTTATTTTTATTTTTTTTATTTCATGTTCTTAGATTTGGGTAGTTGCCAAAGCTGTTGTAGTACAATGGAAAAGTGCTGGCATGACATCTAAATGGGAGGAGTGGGTTAAGAATTCTATTGTTATTGCGAGGGAAAAAAAAAAACGATATTGGCTGCTGTCATGTCTGATATTATATTACATTTTTAGAAAACAGCACCCTTGTCCATGTATACGGATCATAATGTGAATGTTGGATTCATATTCACATGACCATATCTCTATTTTTAATCTTTTCTAACATGAGGATACTGTAGTTGCATTCAGATTTTTGCATCAACTGGACTTTCTGACTCATTAATTTGATTATAGACCATGTGTTGAAGCAGATTCTGCCTACTGGAGTTGAGGTGCCTTCATCTTTTGAAACAATAGTTAAGTATTCTATTTATATTATTATTGCTTCAGCTATGTTTGCATTTTCTTTTTTTCTTTAGTTTACACAGAAAGAGCTTCTTCTTGTTTGTCTTTCCTTTTGTTGGAGCACCTTCCTACCTGTTTTCCCACTTACAACTTACTTGCTTCACTACCCTTCTACCATTGTTGACTATGCATCAGTTTTCAACATCGAAATCCTCCATGTTTAATCAGTTATGAAAAAGTTGATGTTGTTTCTTACTAATGCAGGTCACATTGCCCATCTGAATATTGCTGATGAACTGCTTCCTTACAAGGATGTTGTTGCGAAGGTTATTTATGATGTACGTCTTAATTTATTTCTGACACCAATGCATATGTTCCTTCTCTGTTGAATTATTTAATAAATATGCATAGAATGCTATTTTACATATATATATATATATATATATATATATAAACAAATTAAACAAATGTTGCCAGTCTATTCGAAGCCATGACTTCTATCTAGCTTGATTGTAAATCACGTTTGGTGATTCGATTCATGTTCATTTGGGTCTTCTTTTGCCTTTTTAGTGCCTTCAACTACTAAAACACCAATTGTAGGTTTATTTTTTTATTTTTATTTTTTATAAGTAATATTGTATTGAAAAAGCGTTCAAAAGGGGAACGCATCCCTCACAAACTACACAAGGCCAAATATGGCCTTTAAACTCCCAAAGAGTCCAAAAAATCAACTATCTCCTCCATGGCACACCTTTTGTAGTTAGTAGCGTGCTCTTCCTGATTAGATTGTGTTCCCCTTTTTAGTGCCGTCTTACTTTAGGCTTGTTTGTCATTATCTTTTGTTCATGTGGCTGTAGTTCTGGATTCTTAGACATATTTAAACTCAACAAGTCATTGTTTAGGGAACCAATACTTGTGTAGAAAATGTAAAAAATTAGGTCTGTATCTACTTTGTCCTTCACAGAACCCTTGATTAACTGGGACCAGCAGTGGATAATTTTTTAAATTTCTTTTTGGTACTTCATTAAAATTCAATAAATCCCCACTCTTCAGTATGCAAATAAAGAAAACAACAACATTGGTGTTGGAGTGGTGTAGCATTAAGATTTGCTGATGTTTGTTAAAATCTATGTATTTTTGCAACTTTTTGAGCATTGAATGCCTTTCTTGCTTTTTGTTTCTGCACTTCCATCTATTGCATTTTAATCTTTTTTCTTTCTTTTCTTTTTCTTTTTCTTTCTTTTTCTTTTTTCTTTTCCTTTTTTTTTTTTTTTCCAGAAAAATTATCCCAGAATCAAAACAGTTGCTAATAAGGTTGGAAATATTACTAACGAGTTTCGTGTGCCAAAGTTTGAAATACTGGCTGGAAAAAATGATATGGTTACAGAAGTGAAGCAATATGGGGCAACTTTTAAACTTGATTACAGCTTGGTCTATTGGAATTCAAGACTGGAACATGAACATATAAGGCTGGTTTCTCAGTTCCGAGCAGGGGAGACCATTTGTGACATGTTTTCTGGCATTGGTCCGTTTGCTATTCCAGCAGCACAGAAAGGATGCCTAGTGTACGCAAATGATTTAAATCCTGATAGCATTCGTTATTTGAAGATTAATGCAGAAATTAACAAGGTTAATGAACGTGTCTCTGCATATAATATGGATGCGAGGAAATTCATTTCTCAATTGATGGCAGTGCCTACTTCCGAGACTAATCCAGAGTCTGAGGTTCCTGTTCTCAAGGCTTGTGAAAATTGCACCGTACAGGCAAATGGGGAAACAAAGTCTGAGGACATAAGGCCTGCAGGTGCAGTGTTTATTTGATTTATATTCCTTTGGAGCATACCTGTTCATATTAAATTTTTATATCCCTTGCAGGCGAGTTGGAAGAACTAACCAGTTGCAATATAAGCAATCTGGAGGGTGTTGAAGGTTCATGTCTGAGTGCTGATGCAAGTGCAACTTCAGTCAAAAGACGTTCTGGGAGTTGTCAGGAAGGTATGATGGGCATCAAATTAGCAACACTAATTTGCATACGTGCATACAGTGATTCTATTTATTTGATGTTTCAGCATCTTGAATACGAAGATGAATGATACATCACTATTTTGTCAATTGCAATATCTTGTTAGGTGCATTTGTTCCTCTGCAGTTTCTGCTGCAGATGAGGGAAGAGCTAATGGCGCTGTTGTTTATGTAGCTGTTAGGGAAAAAGGAGGATCAGTTAAGCGAATGAGAGGCTCTGAGTCATTTGATACTAGGCTCTGGGAGCATGTTGATCACTTTATAATGAATCTACCTGCTTCTGCTTTAAAATTTCTGGGTAAATGTTGCCTTCTTTCTCTGTTGTTATTGAGCTGTTTATGTATTCAAAAGCTTTATGTTTTTTATTTGATTAGGTATCTTATTGGCGTATTATTTCAAAATTATTCTTAAGACCAAAATTTTAATCTTGCACGGTTCCTTTTAGTAAATTCTATTAAGTTCAACCACTTAGAATTAAGTTCTAACCCCCCACCACCACCACCCAAACAATCACCACCACCCAACACCAACAAAAGACCCTGCGCAGCAACAACCAAAAAGAAGAAGAAGAAGTAAAAAAAAACTCATACCTTCTTTTCCCTTCATAATGCATTTTACTTTTTTTTACTATCTTGTCTTGTGCTGTCTATGTTTCTCTGTTTTGCTCCTGAGTATTTACTGAATATTGTGGAGACTAGTAATTTCCAGGCCATTTCTCTCATATAGTCAAACCCTGACATTTGCTGAAACATTCTCTTAAATTCTCGCTATCAAATTTAACATCCTAAACATGCTTGTGTTGAGCTGTAGTTGTTTGAATGCTTAAAGGATCAGTTGATGCCCCAATTACCATGGCTTAAAAATTATTCCTAGAGATCCAAATAACCTCAAAATTTGTTCTCTCAAAATGTTTATGTCAAGTTAAGAATAATAAAGTTTGTCTTGTAGGCTTGCATATATCATTTGGACTTTACATTTGTTTCTGATGGTCATTCGATATTCTGTGATTCAACTAGCATGTATGAATCCTAACCTTTTTTCAATCACATGGTCAATTTATATGGGTGCCTTTTGAGTGTGCCATGGAAGTTGAATGACTCTACTAGGAGTTGCATAGTAATTGATTGTATAGATTTATGTTTCCTTGGAAGAAAATAGCACCATCACCATTGGTGATGAAAACTGCATATAATTTCATTTCAAGAAAACCAAACATTGATCCGATAACATTATTAGAAGTGATGGCTTCTTTTTACTTCAGTGGCCTAATTCATGAGGTGAAAGACAATGGCGCCATACAATTTTCATGGCATGCCAACTCTTCCCTATATATCTTTCAGGGGAGATGGGCTTTTTGTTCTTATTCTATCTTATTTGGCCAAATATCCACTTATAAATCTTGACAAATATCTAGCTTTGCTGTTGATTTTTCGACTATTAGAGATTATTTTGACTGGATATTCTCTCTTTTGTTTGCTAATGAGAGATGAGAAAATAAATAAAAAATTGAAATTCTTTTTCAGATGCATTTAGAGGCCTTATCCAGAGGAGATGCTGGAACGGTCCTCTACCTTGGGTTCACTGCTATTGCTTCATGCGGTCAAATGAAACAAAAGAACTGATAATTTCAGTAAGATTTTTGCACAAACTTGTTACATTTTTCTGTTTCCTCTTTTATCTGTTCCCCAGAAATGTTTAATTCATTATATTAATTCTGTCTTATGCATGTAATCAGATATATTTACTAAAGATTGTTGCTTTTCACACTTTTTGTGTGTTTAATATAAAGCATATTAGGGGAGCTGATGATCCATATAGTTTGCATAGTTGGCACATACGTGCACTATTTCAGACCTGTATTTCAATTATAATTTTTGTGGTCTCTGTCTTCATTACCTTAGAATTGTGTACAATCACTGAATTATTAAACCTTTAACCTTGAACAAGTTATTGAGTTGATTCCTTTGAAAATTGAAGCTGCTATGATTGGTAAGAATAAAAAGTATGACTGTTTGAACCTTTTTCCTTGAACATAATATCATTGTTATGCAGAACAGTGGCTTCTGAAGAAATCCTTTAAAACTGGATCCCGAAGTGGAATTTCGTTAGTGTTCGCTACTTAAGAATTGTAGAATAAACTGTTGTTTACTGAGACCTCCTTGACCAACCCATGCAATTGAAGTTAAAACTAAGTGCATTATTGGCTTCTTGGAAAAGGTTACAGAAAATGGTTTCTACAATCTTAAGCCTTTACTATTGTAGAAATCAAGGTATCAAGGGGCCTACAGAAGTTTGCAAACTTAACTCCAGGAGTGAAATTGATATGTAACAATGGGATGTGTAGGCAAGTTAAAAAATTGAGACATGAAAGGGTCTCTTGCATAATTTTAGATTTGTTCTACTGGATGGAAGTACAAGACCTTGTGCCATGTTGATCTCTTTGTTATGAATTTCTGAATCAGTTACTGTAGATTGTATTAAGTTTATGTGAACACAGCTATAGATGAAACTCTGTTGGTCTTAAAACTTTTCCGTAGGATACAATGGCCTCCTTGACCTATCTAGTAAACCCAATTCTGAGCACATCAAACTTAAAGAACCAAGCTGCTGAAGTTTGAATTTGCCCAGCCTTATAAATTTGTGTAATGATTCCATCCCAACATATTCCATTTGGTACTTCACTGATGTCCTAGCCCATGAATATTTCTGTGTCCTATTTCCTTGTATATACTTTTGTGTCACTGAATCATTTTCGGGTAAGAGTATGTATTTGTTTTGTTTTCTATTTCACATATTGCATGTGGTTTGTAGTTTTGGACAAGCAAATGCAATACTGTAGTGATGTTGGTCTTAAGTCTCTCCTGGAGTAAAACCCCAAATGGATAGCATGGACTTGCTTATTCACTCTTGGTGATGGTTTAGGCTTCACCAGTTTCTGGTTTCTTATCCTTAGCTTGTTGATGTGGTGTCCCTATTCTGGAATAGTTACTTCTCCTCCTGTTTCATTCAGCATTATTACATTCCCTGTAAACCAAACTGCGATAACGTTTACCCTTTCACTTCCAAGTACTCTTTCGTTCTACATTGTGACTTCAACTGTTTTGCAGGAGGCGGAGTGTGCCTTGAATGCTAGTATACACGACCCGATATTTCATAGGGTTAGAGATGTTGCTCCAAACAAGGTATGAACCTGAAGAAAGTTTTCTCTTGACACCAATATTTTCTGAATTTACGTGTACATGCATGTCTTTGCATCCTTTCTTGTGTTTTGAACTTTGCTCTACCATACAGGCAATGTTTTGTTTAAGCTTTAGGTTGCCGGAGGAGGCATGCTGTGGTGAAGACATGACTAACAGCATCCGCTATGCTGATGGAGAGACATAAGCACTGGTTGATCACGTCTTCTTGTGTAAAGTCTTGGGCCTTGTTTCAATTACCTAACCTGATACACAAGGCAACCAAAAACATAGAATTTGACACAGAGAACGTTAGATTAGAGAAATTAATGTCAAACAATGCTTCATATTTTTTTTTCTTCTCGCCTTCTCTTCATGTAAATTAGTGGAGTGCATGGTCTGCTTTTGAGAGGTGCCAGGGGGGTTCAGTTCAACGTCTGAAACTGCATTGTGCAATTAATATAGCACCTTAAGTCATATAATACAAGTGTTCTAATTTTGTCCTTGAAGTTGGGAAGTGTTCTTTTAGTACGTGTTTCATAGCCTGTCACATTCCTCACATGTATCAATTTTTGTCAGTGGTAAACAATCAAATTATGAATTAAGGGTGTCATTGAGAAACTATTAACATGATGAAATGATTTAATTCTGATGCCTTTTCTTGAGAGGCTTATTCTACTTTCATATGTTGATCGCAAAATGTTTTTCAATTACAGCCAATCTTTTAATACTTGTGGGAAATGCAAATTTAAAGGTGATGAGAATGTTAATGTCATGGAAACCCAATGTCCACTCCGTTATCAGAAGCCATAAAAGGCACCAGAATTACCGACAATGAAACCAAACCAGAAAAACATTTATTTGTACTCCATCATTTTTGGGTTTACATGGTAATGAGAGAGACGATCAATGATTGATTTACATAGTGGCTTAATTTGTTGAGATAGGCAGTGAAATATGCGAATATGATCTGGTTAGAGTTTTATTGGCTGAGGCATGAGATACGTGAAATTAATCTTCACTCTGGGGAACTCTAATGTCTGAGCTAGCATGGAAGTTGTCTTCAACCTCACAGGCACTAAAATTTCTCTGGCATACGTGGCGTTTGCTTAAAAAATTGAACTGAAAGGTCCATCAGAAACCTAGTGAAGATAGCATATTCTCTGCATATATATATATATACACTGTGTGTGTGTGTGATATCCTTATTTGGAATTGCACCATAACCTTATATATTTATTTATAATGGCACCATACATAACTTTGAGTTACCCTCTCCAGAAAAGGCATGCTTTTAGTAAAGATTGCATTTGCATGGAACGAAACACGTAAATTCAAGCTGTAAAGTTGCCTTTGGAAGGATTCTCTTCAATCTCGTTTCAAAAGTAGTCAATGCTCTTCTCACCAAGTCGTTACTTACTTGTTCTCCAATTTTGTTGTCCCCATCATCATCCGTCTTCTTTACCATTTTGCCACGTGTCAGCACGATAAACCCCGAATTCCAATCAGACGGATTTGATCAAAACATTTCTCACCGCAAGATTTGTACAAATATGAAATATTTGATCAGTAGTAGGACCCAAGTGAATGTACATCCATTTCGTTCCACACTGACGAAGACTCGAAATGTGGTTCACAGTTGGAATTTACTTCATCTCAAGAGTGTGACCAGCACGTCCCCAAATAGAATGGTTTGTACCCCCATAACTGAATAACTGAATTAAGGAAGGAATCTTCTTACTCTCTTTCTACTTTTCACAACCCAATCTTCTCCTTGTACATTTCTTGCCTTCCTTTGAATTTCTCAAAAGCCAAACATAAACAATTTAGAGAGAGAGAGAGAGAGTATTATTGCTTCTTCATGCAAGTCATGCCTATAAATCCCAGAACGAACAAGAAAAAAATTCCCCTCTTTTCTTTCGTTTTCCATCATTTTCCAAACTGGTTCTCTATCATCTTCTTGTTGATTCAAGAAAGATTAAGAGACCCATTAAAGATTCATCCAAGAAAAGGAAAATGGTGGAAGCAAAATTGCACTACAACTATGATCTATTGATAATGTTTGTTGTGTTGATGAGCATGGTCTCAAATGGGTCGTCAAGTGTGGGAGTGAATTGGGGGACTATGGCAACCCATCAGCTACCACCAGACAAGGTGGTGAAAATGTTGAAAGAGAATGGGTTTGGTAAGGTGAAGCTTTTCGAGGCAGATGAGAAAATTTTGGGAGCTCTGATTGGGTCTGATATTGAAGTCATGTTGGCAATACCCAATTTCATGTTGCAGAAGATGAGTGAGGACCCTGGCGCTGCAGCTTCTTGGGTGGATGTCAATGTCACTAGCTATTCCTACAATGGTGGAGTCAATATCAAGTTGAGTCACTCAGTTTCTTTATGTTCATTTCTCGTTTGTTCCTGATTTTTAATCCCATTTTAATTTGTCATTGTTGATTTTGTTCTATTATTTCCTTTTCTCTGGTTATTGTTTCTTGATTTTTGTTAGAATTAGGGCTGTCCCATGCAGGTTGTGTGTGTGTGTGTGTTTTGATTGATGTCCTTTCTTGTTTTCAGCTTTAGCTGCTTATAGTTTTTCCACATACTTTTCATAATCTTTAAGTTGTTAACAAATTTTAACTTCTGAAAGCGTTTCCTTTTACTTTTTTCCCATTTGCTTTAGATTGGATTTCACCAATTTTGATGGTTTTTTATTTCCTTGCTCTTTTAAACTTTTTGTCAACATGCTTTTCATTGCAATATTTTTTCTTTTAAAAGGCTTTCTTCTTCTTCTTCTTTTTTTTTTTTTTTTTTTTTTTTTTTTTTTTTCTGACTGATATTGGCTGTTGGTGTTGCTCTTCATTATAGTTGAATTTGCCAAGTAAAATGTCCATATTTTAATTATATATTTATGAATCATCAGTTTAGCTCTTTGCTGAAACATTAGCTTAAAAGCATGGCCAATTCTATAACACTCACAGATCCCCTGCTTTGATAAAATAAAAATACTAGTCTATAGGCTCAGCTGCCAAGTGTTTGGATTGTTGTCTCTTAAGGAGATCACCTCTGCTATCATTATGTAGTATACGAAACTTATTCCACAATACATAATCACATTTCTCTGAGTGACAATTATATCTACTTCTGATTCCACAATTCTAGTCTATAAGCTTGATCATCTTTTTTTGTTAATAATAAGATTCTTAATTTTCTTTCAAAAATGCTGTCAAATGCCTCATTTCTCACCCTTATGAGTAACGTTGATGATCAATTTTGCAGGTATGTTGCTGTAGGCAATGAGCCCTTTCTTCGAAGCTACAATCAGTCCTTTCTGCATTTGACATTGCCAGCCCTCAAAAACATCCAGGAAGCCCTCAACCGGGCTGGGCTTGGGTCACAGATTAAAGCAACAGTTCCCTTCAATGCTGACATCTACAACTCCCCAGACTCGAACCCTGTTCCATCTGCCGGTGATTTCAGGCCAGAAATCAGAGACCTCACAATTGAAATAATCCAATACCTCCATTCCAATGATGCACCTTTCACTGTCAACATTTACCCTTTCCTCAGCCTCTATGGGAACGATTACTTCCCCGTGGACTTTGCCTTTTTTGACGGATCAAACAAGCCGGTCAAGGATGGTAACAATTTATACACAAATGTGTTCGATGCAAATTTTGACACTCTTGTTTGGTCTTTGAGCAAAGCTGGATACCCTGACATGAAGATCATAATTGGGGAAGTTGGGTGGCCGACTGATGGTGATAAGACCGCCACTGTGGACAATGCTAAGAGATTTAACCAAGGATTGCTTCCCCACGTTTTGAGCGGAAATGGAACTCCTATTCGGAAAGGTGTGATTGATGTTTACTTATTTAGTCTCATTGATGAAAACACCAAAAGCATCGCCCCGGGGTGCTTTGAGAGGCACTGGGGGATATTTGAGTTTGATGGGAAGCCAAAGTATGAATTGGACTTATCAGGAATGCAAAAGGATAAGGGGTTAGTTGCAGTGGAAGGTGTACAATATATGCTGAAAAGGTGGTGTGTTTTGAACCCTCATGCACATAATTTAGAAGACTTGGCCAAAAATATCGATTATGCTTGTAGCCTTTCTGATTGCACTGCTTTAGGATATGGTTCTTCTTGCAACCATTTGAGTGTCAAAGGAAATGCTTCTTATGCTTTTAACATGTATTATCAAGTTAAAAGCCAGCAGACTTGGGACTGTGATTTCGATGGTTTGGCTATGTTGACGGATAAAGATCCCTCTGATGATCAGTGCCAGTTCCCGGTGATGATTGCTTATGGTTCTTCAATTGTGCTGCCCGGGAAAATTCTGAGCATTATACTTGCCATTCTTGAGGGATGTATAGTTTTTTTGCTTCTTGTGTCTTAGAATTGCTTCAAGAAACCAAGGAGCTAGCTAGTCTCACTTACAGTCACTATTTGAATTGTTTTTGTGTAGAATCTGTAGATTACTATTGAATTTCAGCAAGTAGATTGTATCATAAATTAGAAAACTGTTTCCCAAATCTTTGGTTGCAATGTGGAATAGGCTATGACATCTCACATTTTCTCTGATATTTTTATCATTTTTGCATCCAGAGTTCTGATTTTAAATCAAATATGTCCTTGATATAGATGCCATCAGCTCTCTGTGCAAACCATATATAACATGCCCAATTAAATCCGCAGTGTCCAGGATTAGTGCTCTTGGTGATTCATAAGGTGTAAACATTTTCTTTCTGTCTTTTTCTTTTTCCCGTAAATTGCGATTTGTTAATGCCAGTCAAGTTGTATGGTTTCAGCAAGGTGTAAACATTTTTGCATCCAGAGTTCTGATTTTAAATCAAATATGTCCTTGATATAGATGCCATCAGCTCTCTGTGCAAACCATATAAAACATGCCCAATTAAATCCGCAGTGTCCAGGATTAGTGCTCTTGGTGATTCATAAGGTGTAAACATTTTCTTTCTGTCTTTTTCTTTTTCCCGTAAATTGCGATTTGTTAATGCCAGTCAAGTTGTATGGTTTCAGCAAGGGAGAAAAGCTAGTCCAATTGAACAAAGGATGCAGCAAAGAACAAAGAGACATCCATGACCACACCAGGCTAGACTAGTTTCTCAACTATTTCTTAATTTCCAATTAAATTTTACTCTCAGTAGGTCTCTTTGTTGCTGATAAGAGCAAAGGCATGGCATGCTTGTGGTTCACTGTGAAAACAGCAAGCACTACCAGAAAAAAGGTTTTTCGTTTTTTTTTTTTTTTTTTTGAAGAATACACATTTATTCACTCATGTTTATTTAAAAGGAGTGAATAGTAAAAATGTATTTACTTCAGTGAATTATATTGCTACGTTTTAATCATTCAGTGATATCATGACATCGATAATTTAGAAGCCATAAAGTATTTATGCTAAGAGCACATGCCTCCACATGCAAATAATATAAAATAAAAATGCATTAGGCATGATATATTAGCAATAAATTATCCAAGAACCATGCTAGCTAGATAGGTTTCCACATGATTTGGTTACTTACAGAAAGTCACCTACGTCATGTAAGATGGGGTGGCTTGTAGCAGTATTTGGAGAGTCAAATTTTTTCGAGCTGATGTATTCATATTCGAGCCCCATCCCTATAGTTTGACAAGATTAAAAATAATAATAGTAAAATAAAATTTACTTATAGAACCTCCTTGTAAGGAATTGGAAGGGGTGTGGAGCCCATTCAGTTTTGAAAGAGTCCATGCATTTTTTTTTTTTTTTTTTGCCTTCTAATTTTTCTGTTTTTTATCAAAAGTTAAACCAAACTTACTCACGTATTTGTAATGGACTTGAACCATTGAGTTCCCTTTTAGACATATTATATCATTCAAATTAGTCCATTAATTTTATTTATATTTTGTTAAAGGTCAATCACATGTGCACATACCCATTGTATTATATTATATATATATATATATATATATATATATATATATATATATATTAACTTGCGTAGGGAGCATTACTTTTTCATCTGGTTAACTAGATGATTGAATTTAGTGAACCTAGGATGGCAATTGTTCGCGGGGACAGGTGCCTGCCCCATCCCGCCCCATTTATAACGATATTGAAGGACCTTTTAACTTATTTAGGCGAAATGATTTTATTAATGAAAATTTGCATGGGTTCGAGGCAGGGGCGAGGGCAGGTCACCTCCCGCCCCGCCGACTCATTTAGGTAGATAAATTACTAAATTACTCTTATTTTATTAGTATATATTATTAACTCTAAAAATCCTAGGTCAGATTCACTCACTTTCCCAGTCATTCTAGAGACCAGCAAAGCTCTACGAACTAAGAACGTTCATAACTTCGAAATTTATGTTAAATTATTTATTGTCCATTTTTTTTATGAATTTCTTCAATAGTTATATAATTGTATTCGTAGAAAAAAATTAAAAAAGAGAAGAAATTTTGGAATTAAACGGGGTGCCTGTGAGAGTAAAAAAGTTAAACGGGTGAGGATGGGGTGGAAAGACTCCCGTTTAAGTGATTTTGGGCGGGAACTGGGCCGGAGTTTCTAAACGTTCCTGTCCAAAATTGTTCCGTTGTTATCCTTAAATGTGCCTATCCAATTACAATACACTATTTAAAAAAAAAAAAAATTATCCATATTTATAAAATTATTGATAACAATATAGTATAATATATTTTATTGGATGGATACGCTACTTACATGGTGTGGCCTGGTGCACCCAATATGCATTCGGCTTTAAGGGGAAAAAAAAGGTGACGTGTTGTCACATAATTGGTAATTTTAACATGTATCGTTTAGCTCTAATATTCTCCCATCAAGGTAAACAACGGTAGTGCTGCCGTTCTATTGTTCCAACAGTTTGCCCGTACCTAAATTCAAAAATCAAAACACAGAGATAAAGCGGGCATTTCAAATTGAATTCATGTAACGGCCACATTCACGGTCCAGCTCTCTCTCTCTCTCTCTCTCTCTCTCTCATGTGTTTGGATCCGTTTTTCTTCTTGAAAAAACCCTAATTTCTTCAAGATCTCACATTTCCCCATAATTACCTTCCCTTTCTATCTACTTTCTCTCTGTAGAAAGAAGACATGGCTTCTCTCACTCCAGGAATCCTCCTGAAGCTCCTCCAATCCATGAACTCAAACACCCGGGTTACCGGCGACCACCGGTCCCCCCTTCTCCAGGTCATCGGAATCGTACCGGCGCTAGCCGGTTCCGACCTCTGGCCCAACCACGGCTTCTACGTTCAGCTCTCCGACTCTCTCAACTCCACCTACGTCTCGCTCTCCGACCGCGACACCGATCTCATCCTCACCAACCGACTACAACTCGGCCAGTTCGTCTATGTCGACCGCTTCGACTTCGATTCGCCCGTCCCTCGGGCGTGTGGCATTCGCCCAATTGCGGGCCGCCACACGTTCGTCGGAAGTCCTGAACCGCTCATTGCCCGCATTTCTGCCTCCAAGCGCGAGTTTGTGATTCAGCCAGTCTCGGATTCAGATCAATCTGTAGATCCAATTGCGATTTATCTTTCAAGCAAGAAACTAGATCAAACGAAAAATGATGGTAAAGAATCAAAAATTGAGGCAAAGAGTGAAAAATCCAGGACAAGGCAAGTTCTTGCGTCCAGGGAAAATGTTTCGGTGGAGAGTTCGGATGAATCGAAGGTTTCTGATAGGCCTCAGAGGTTTTCATCGCCTGCAGCTGTGAGGCAACAGAGGTCAGTATCGGTGGGTAAGAAGAATGCCGCAACTGTGGAACGAGACCCGTCGCCGGTGGGGAAAGCAAAGCGGTCCTCATCGCCAGTTCCATCAAAATGTGTGGTTCCGAGCTTGGTTGCAGCTCGTGAAGAGAATCGAAAGACATCAAGGGAGCCGGCGATTGTAGTGCCGTCAAGGTATAGACAACCGTCACCTAATGGGCGGAAACAGGCCTCACCTAACACGAGAAGGATGTCTATTTCTCCGGGAAGGAGATTGTCCAGTGGAATAAAGGTTTCGCCTGTTGTTGGGGCTGCAGATTCTGCTAGTAAGAAGAAGATGGCGACAATAGTTGCGGGGATTTCAAAAGTTTCCGAGGCTCTTGTTGGGTCTGCAAAGACAAATAGAAAGAGTTGGGATGAGCCACCCACAGGGGCAGCCTCCGTTGAGCAGAAAGATAAATGTGTCACAAAAAACAAGCCGGATTTGCAAGCAATAATGCGGACTCAGGTAACTTTCCTTTGCATATTCTTGATCTTTTTCAGTTTTTCTTATTTTGGGTGTGCTTTGACCCTAACATTGTGTAACATTGGTGAGGGGTTGTGGGATAAAAGTGATGAGATTGTTGAATTGGTTTACGACCAACCATCCTAAGATCTAAGATCTCCTATTTTTCAATCATAGGCAATATTGTAATTCCATGATCAGATCGCCCTTCCTCATTCAGGACGACTTTGCTTTTGCTGCAACACTGGGGAGGTATGAGATTAAGTGATGAGATCATGGAATTTGAGCTGCAATAATCATTTTGATCATATGTTAAATCACAGCCAAATATGTTAAATCATATGCCTAAAATGGAATATATGACATGCAAATTTGATAAGTAGGACTTCAAGACCAAATAATTGCTCAAATGAACTATTTTCATTACCAACGGGCTAGTGGCCTAGCGGTATCAACCTCTTACTTCCTAAAGAGAAGTCAAAGGTTCAAGTCTTAGAAGAGACAAGTGTGTGTGAGTACCAACTAGGGAAAAAAACTATTTCCATTATCTAGGATTAAATATTACAAAAAAATAGGGAGGTAGATGGTGATGAAGTAAGTTGGATTGGAGCCGGTGAACAAAATGGAGGCAAGCTAGTGGTATCCTTTGTGACAAAAGAATACCAAATAAACTAGAAGGAAAATTCTATAGAATGGTTATTAGGTCGTTGTATGGAGCGGGGTGTTGAGAAAGACACAAATACAACGCATCAATGTCATGTAATTGAGGATGCTGCATTGAATGATAGAAATCACTAGAAGAGATAAGTTAAACATTAGGCATAGTGCCTATAAATGATAAAGTTAGAGAACATATACTTTGGTGGTATGGTCATGTTTCAACATAGGCTTGATGATGCACCTATAAAAAGAGGAAGAGTTGTTTATGTTGTTGGTAAGCGACAAAGAGGCCGACTAAAATCCACGTGGGATGAAGTAATTAAAAACGATTTGAAAAATCTAAAATTAAGAGAGGACATGGTGTATAATAGGAAAGAATGGAAAAAAGAATTCATGTTTCTATGGGAAGAAGGCAAGGATGATGATGATCTTACATCATAACCAATCATGCCATTTTGCATTACATCCAACAAAGTGTGCCTCCTCAGTGCTGCTTTAATCAGTCTTTTGTTGCACAAGATTGAACCATCTCATTGAACTTCTCTCGAACCTTCCAACAAAATTGGATCCAATGCTGAAAGTATTTATCCACAATTTAAACAAGGCACCTTAAAATTTCCTACAAAATTTGAATCTAAAGATGAATGTACCTGTCCATAAGCTAAACTACCAGTCTAGCACCAAATAAACTCCAGGCATCGCAAGAAATTAAATATTCATTTCATTATTGTTTGCACCCAAATTGGTTCCTAATTTGGCATCCCATGCCATGGCCGCGAAGATTACTCTACGACCAAAATTAGTCTTTCGGCCGAAATTGGTTCTACGGCCGAAATTAGTATTTGCTGCATGTCCTACACGTGCATAGTGACAATGCAAGCTTATGTGTAGTACTTGTCTGCCAATTCTCATTGCTTCTTCTACCCAAACACGGTTTAATCAATTCTCTCTCTACCTTATCTTCTGACATAATATCTTTATAATTTTTTTTTTTTTTACAAAATCTTTCTACAGACCCACTTTAGTTTTCAAAATCTTTTCACTATCTTACCTTCTCCCTCTACCTGAATCCACTCTCTCAGCAATGAACCTATTTTCTCTCTCTCGTTTTCTTCAAACGCTAACTTCCTTTGTTTCTCAACCCCACTTTCCTTCTCTGACCAACTCCTTCTCTTTCCAAACTTACCAACATGCTTGAAACAAGAGGTGATTCCTCCTCATCCAAAGGGAAACAGCCATGGGTGGATATAGGAAAGGACTGGCGCTCCAAACAACAGAATGATGTTCCTACCACAGACCAACATCGTTTTCTCAGTTCAGAATTTTAGCAACTCTACCTTTGGAAGTTTATAAAGCGAAAAGTCATTCTTGGTAGAGTTCTTACACCCTTAAGTGGTATCTTGTGGGGTTGGCTTTAATGGTATGTAGATCTGCGATCCCACCTCTTCTTTTTTGTTGAAAATAAGTTTAGAATTTTTGAACTATTTACAACACTAGGATGGAATCATTTTCTAACTTTGGACCAAACTTGTTATCCAACCTTAGTCAATCTTTTTTATACCCATCCCAAACTCAAGGATGACAATGTTCTTGAATCATCGGTGAAGGGTAGGAAAATAGTTTTGATGCTGCTCTTTTAAGTGAAAATTTTCATGCTCCATCTGGGGGTATAAATTTTTTACCACTAATTTCAGTGTCTGCCATGCCGGCTTTGACCCTACCACAACCATTAGAGAACTTTGTGGCAACCCTGACATTTTCACTACCTCCTCGTCCTCTGCATCCAAATTCACGGTAGAGGCCCGATTAATCCATTCGATTATCAGGTATTCCATTCTACCCAAGGGTGGGCGGCTATAGGACAAATGTGACCCACATGGATCTCTTTACCATCTAGTGTGTGTCCTACCTGGTGTGCAGTTAAATCTTCCATTCTTAATGATGAATGTCATGAAAGACATCATCAAAAAGCCCAAGGATAGTCTTCCCTATGGAATTGCTTTAACCCCCTCTTTTTGCAAGGTTTGGTGTAGAGTTAGAATCAGAGGTGGAACAAATAGAGGTAGTAACTTCTAAATGACTGGATGAGTTCATTCTCAACCGGATGCACTTCAAGTAAGATGATTTGGGCAATTGGATAAGACTGCCACTGGGGAATCTGATAATGAGGATGATGCCGAATGTATTCCACGAGAAGATTCTATGAGCACATCAATGCTTCAACAGCTAGTGAATGGCATGTCTACTCTCACCCCTCAAAACTCCACAATCTTGTCTCGGGTAACCGATCTCTCCGATCAAGTTACTGAGTTGCATGGTGATGTGCGGTGGATAGATGATCATATTGAAAGTGTAGATGCTCGTTTTAACACCATGGATGCTTACATGCATGAGAATTGTCAGAAGTGGCCTCCCTATCAGCCCTGATTTTTCTTCTTATCCATTTTGATGATGAAAAAGGGATGTGTTGCTTTATTTAGTAGCTTTATTTGGTAGTACTAGTTCTTTTGGACTGTTATTTGGTATATTTCTCTTGAACATATTGCTTTGCTTACTTAGACATATTACTCTATTATGCTCATGATATTTTGCTACTTATCACACTCTATCTCTAAAAGGTGATTCCATCTTACAAATTTGATTGAATTTTACTTCCTGGCACTATCTTCTGGGTGGCAATGTTTGACACCATCTGTTGATCTGCCTAAAATATTTCCGGGAATTAAAATGTGGTAATGAGTCCAGCAACCTATTTAGATTTGATACATGCATAGTTTGAATTATAACACCCCGCAGGTTAGTTTTTTTTCTTTCTAAAACAGTATAAGCATTAGATTAGTTAAATAATCAGTTTCTATTTGAGTCAGATGTAGTCGCCATTATTAGTGCTAATAAATTTGATCCAAGACCTTACCCCTACCCAGACATTGAACTCTCCCCTTCTCTTTGTTCTCTATCTCAAAATTGAACTCTCTCCCTGAGGACCCTAGTTCCCCAAATAATCAATACAAAAGATTGGGAGACGGAGTTAGAATTATTCTTCTATGCCAATAATAACATCTGCCTTGGGGGGCTAGATTCATCAATTGTAAATTAACTTTCTTGCATGTGCAATTTGTATTTAATTGTCGTTGTCTTTGTTATCTGGAAATTATAGTAGTTGATTTTCGTCCGTTTGATATCAAATTACTTATTGTAATCATAAATTCTAGTGGTGAAACTGTGTACCCTAGTGGGGGCACTTGCCCCTTCCCTTTCTTAGGTCAATTTTGTTTTTTTTGTTTTTTCTAATTTCTCTATTTCCCTTGTTCTCAGGACAACGCCAAGTTCATCTCCTCTATTTTGACCTTCAATTTCTCTCTTTTACTCTCTCAAACTCTCTCCAAAGCAAGCACAGCGTGAGAATTATATATATATAAAAATCAGTAGACCAATTTCTCGTCCCTAAGCCGCTATGCAATAGACCTTAATCCACTTTTTATCCATGTTCTTTCTATAAAAAATAAAAATAAATAATAATAAAAAGAATTTTAATTCGAAAAGAAAAAAAAAAAAAGAGGATTAAGATTTTGTTAACATCAATAGATTGTTTGATTGTATAGGTTTTATTGTCATTGGTTATGACCTTATCGCGCAACAGTGCAAGAGATGAAAAGTCATTGAGAATAATTATAACTGTATTAAATTATAATATTAACTCAACTCAACAAAGCCTTTTTCCAACTACTTGGGTCAAATGCATGAATCCTATTTTTTTGTTGGCTCTATCCAAGGTCATAGCCTCAGCAGCTCTTACTAACTTTACCTATATATTTAAAACTAGTAGCCTTTGCTGTAATGTTAAATTCTTTCCTGGAATAACCTCACAATCTTTACTTCTTAATCGATCTACCATTCTATTTAAAAGGTTGTCATTTTGGTTCATATTTAATCCACTTTTAAAGGTTATTAAATGTTCCTCTCTCTTTGAATTCAATTTTTCAGGCTGCTATTTCTAGGCGCCTAAGTGATGTGAAGGGTCAAAAACCCAATCAGGATGATTCCGAAACCGATGAAAAAGCAAAATCTAACTTAGCGGAAGGTTGCTTGGTGCCTGAGAAGCCAACTTTTGCTGCTCCAGGAGTCACTGTTCATGAAAAGAAATGGACAGATGGAAGCGTTCCACTGGATGCAGTCTCTACGGACCTTGCAAGGCTTGGGAAGGTATAGATGAACAGTAGCATTGCAGACTCTCTTTTTTTTTTCCTAGTTGGGGACTCACACACACTGCCTCCACTGAGGTTCGAACCCCTGACCTCCCTTTAGGAAGTAGGAGCCTTGTACCGCTAGGTCACAGGCCTGTTGGTAGTAGCATTGCAAACTTACTTGGCCTGATGTGAAACATAAAAATTCTTCTACTAACTTGACACTTATCAAACCTATATATAATTTGTAATGACTTGAGCAATGAATTCAAAGTTGATGGAATATACAAATAACTAGTTACCATAAAGTGCTTTGTGTCATTTGAAGACTGAATTTGGATATTTCATGTTTGATTTAATTCAGGAGGCTATGCAAAGAAGAGTTCTTGCTTCCACAGCTGCTGCTGAAGCATTGGAAGAGGCCATCGCCACTGAGTCAATGGTAAGGAGTTTAAGGTAATCATCTTCTCTCATTCTGCTAGTACCCAAGGTGTTGGACAACTAATATGACACGGCATAAAACGTGAAGCATGTTCTGGTAATATCATTTGGACGTGAATTTAGGGTAGTTGATGTAGTCTGTGGGAGGTCTGGTAAAGACCTTCAATAGGTCTCCTGAATGTACCTTGCCTATTAGGATCGTATATACTTTTGTTGTGGAGTCATTGGGTGATAACTCAACATCATGGGGTGGCAAACTTAAAACTAAATCTTGCTTGTGTAATCATTTTTACAGTTTTATGTGAGCATAATTCTTGATTCTTTTTGTTTCAGCATGTTTTCAGATCTCTGTTCTTCATCAAAGGCTGGGAACCCTTTACCCACTATTGACCGTTTTATGTCAATTTATGATGAAGTCGTGAATTCAACGGCAAATGCTGAATTAATTGCCAATATCCGCAGCTCTGACACGGCTCATGATGATAAAATGACAGAGCATTCCAAATCCCCCTCTCTTTGGGTAGAAGCTGCTCTGGCCACTGATCTGGAGATTGTCTCTCTCCTAACTGATCAAAATATTAAGCCTCGGCCAACACTGCAGAAAAGTTTGTCAAAACGACAATCGACCAATGCACCTGCTAAAAACCATATCATTATTTCTTCATCAACTCATGTAGAGACTGTTGCCGGGAGATGGATAAGCGGTCATGGAATGAAAGAGACTGTGGAACTTGGGATGAATTTGCAACAAGAGATGCAAATGTGGTTTTTAAGATTTGTTGAGGAGTCACTAGATGCAGGTTTCCGGGTTTTAAACAAGTGTACTACTGATGGTGGTCTTGACGGTGGCCCAATTGCAGCAATCTTGTCACAGCTGAAGCGAGTCAACGACTGGTTGGATCGTATGCTGTTGAAACAGGATGAATTGCTGACAGAAAAGATTGAGTGGCTAAAGCGGAAGATCTATGGTTTTGTTATACAGCATGTTGGGACAACTGTCGAGAACTCCATGCCCATCGCTTCATCTTAATCTCCATGTATCATCATCTTATAACTATTTGCTTTGCATCACTCACTAGCTAAATGAGGAGGATTGCTATTGGTTGGATTTCAGAACTGCTAAAATTTCATAAAGTTAAATTTGAAGTTTTGTATGTGTGTTTCTCTTATTCCAGGTCAATTGAAGCATTCAAGCATCTAAGCATTTTAACATGCACTTGTTCTGGTTTTCATACTGAACATTTAAAGATAAACATTAACTTAAAATTTGTTAGCATTAGGACACTGGTTTTCATACTGTTAGCATATTTCATAATCATAATAAGGATTGATTAGGTAAATTGTGTTGTCACTTTTAGATGGTTCATTATTTATCCCGTGATTGTACTTTGTAGTGAGTGGGATAGCGGATATCTACATTAATAAGATTTTTCAAGCCTGTCCAGCGAACCTACAATGTGTGTTTTCTTGTGTGATTGTTTTCTATTCCCAATTGAGATACGCACTAGACTGTTCATCTTCAAGAAAGTGGGCTCAAGGACTTTTTGATAAGAATTTATCTACATTTGTAGTGAGTGTGTATATGTGATTGAAAGAGAGAGAAAGAGACATATCCATATATATTGCGCAACCCACAAGGTGTTCGTTATTGATCCTCAGCCAAATATAGTGGGAAGATACTTTTAACAAGTTGGAGACATGAATGAGAACCATTCATTTGATAACCGAATTAGGCTAATGATTCAATCAATTATAAAAGATAGTACTCTGAAGGTTGGTATTGCCCAAGTGCATGCTTGCTGAAAGAAACAGTGTGTGGTGAATTGGGTTGGAGCAAGTAAAATGGTGATTACATTATTTGTGAAGAAAGGGTGTTCGTTAGCATTCATTACGGTAATACTGGGCACAATTGTATGTGAGGCTACCTCTATCTCTATCTCTATCTCTATCTCATCACATAAGAAGAGCATGGTCAACTTCAAGTCACACTACTACCACTCCTGCAATGGTACCATTGGCGAATGCCGCATGGACGAAGAGCTGCAGCAGCTTCCAATGGATCCTGAAATAAGTAGGCGGCTACTCGTGGGCGGGAATGGGGGAGGAGTGGCTAAACAGGCGGTTGATTCATCTAAAGCCGCAGGCGCAGGGTGTGATAGAGATAGAGGCCAACCATATAGTTGCATCCCCAAGCCAAACCCATGACCAAAAGGTCGTTGCTTTATTTATAAGCAGTGCCGCCAAGGCGGTCGATCGTAAATATAAGGAACATGTTTCGCTTGTCCTGCATCAATAATGACATATTAGTGTTTGGCTCACAAAGTGGTTTGAGGTCGCTAGCCAATGAACGGCTGACCTAGAACGCGGGCGTGCCAGAGTCCTGATGGACTCGAATATTTCTTGCCAAACTATTCCTATCGGGTCGGGTCACCGACCTAAGGTGATTCAGGCGAAAGTTGGAGAGTAGGAATGACCCTCTCCTTAAGGTTGCTATTGCCTTTAAGAAAGGACTTTAAACACTCAAGATAAACATGAATTAGAAGCAACTTAACTGGACAATAAATATACCTGAATCTGCAAACCTTTCTTCATTGAACTTGACTGATTACAATGATGAATGAATTACAAACTCTTGATTGAAATGGAAACTAAAGTATTAAATGCTGGAAGATGAACTAAGTACTAAACTGATAGTGTTAAGCTAAACTTGCTGAAATAAAAGCTAAGTGCTAAATTGAGCTTGATGAAATAAAAGCTAAGTGCTAAATGATAGGAATGCTAAAGGTTGAACTTCAGAAATGGTCTTGGACCTCTTCCTTGTGATGCTTGAGTGGGTATTTATAGAAGCTTCCACCTGGTGTTGTCCCTTTCAACCGTTTCTCTAGAAATTGATTGGTTGTAAGCTGAAAGTGACTTTTTCTAATCACCAGCTGGAAGGGTTGACTAACTTGCACATCCCTCTATAGGCAGATACAAGTATGTCTGACATAGTATTTTTGACTAAATGGTGCCTATTCTTTCATGCTTGATGATTTTGGTCTTCAAGCCATTTTCAGCTCTCTGCACCTGTCATGTCTGGCTTGATTTGTACATTAGCTTGGAGTCATCTGATTACTGACAATCCTGACTTTCCTCATCAGATGTTGGTGAGAACCTTCCATCTGTAGTTCTGAACTTCTTACATTGTCAAGTTGTCCTTTTCTATTTCAAGCTTTCCTCAAACTTCTAGACCTGACTTGTTGGGTTCTCGAAATATTGGGATTCACAATCGGTCTTTATTTGAATTACCCCAAAGATTCCTCAAGTGATTATGACCCGAGACCCCTGATCATGACCATATTTGGTCATAAGTCTTGATCATGGCCATAGTGATTAGAAATCTTGGTTAAGATTCATAATCATGACCATTATGACTGAGGGTCTTCTAACCATGACCGTTGTGATTGAGAAAGTTGTGACTGAGAGTATTTTGGCCTAAAACTTATGATTATGACCATAGTGACTGAGAAGGTTTTGGCCTAAGACTCATGATCATGACCATTGAGACTGGGAGTCATAGCCATAGTGACTGAGAAAATTTTGGCCTAAAACTTACGACCATGAGACTGAGACTCTCATGACCAAGATGACTGAAAAGGTTTTGGCCTAAGACTTATGATCATGATGACTGAGACTCTCATGACCAGGATGACCGAGAAGGTTTTGGCCTAAGACTCATGATCATGACCATTGAGACTGGGAGTCATAGCCATAGTGACTGAGACTCTCAATCATGGCCAAGATGACTGAGAAGGTTTTGGCCTAAGACTTATGATCATGACCATTGAGACTGGGAGTTATAGCCATAGTGACTGAGACTCTCAATCATGGCCAAGATGACTAAGAAGGTTTTGGCCTAAGACTTATGATCATGACCATTGAGACTGGGAGTCATAGCCATAGTGACTGAGACTCTCAATTATGGCCGGTTATGGGCTCAAAATCTCATATCAGTCTTAATGGCCCAAAAAAATCCACTCTTCTTCATTCTCTGCCTTAAATCGGATCGCCATGATTAGAAATTAATCTCTCGCCCTGATGACCATGGGTCGACCCAAAGTTCAGACTTCACGATTCCTGACCACTTGGCATGATTGCTTCGAATTATATTTTAGGTGTTAACAACTGCCCCCAACTCTATGAAAATGGGTTCATACCAAATTTTCGTAGAGTTGTATTTATTTTGGCCAGTTTTTATGTTTAGCCTGGGACCAGTCAAGGCCAATTTTTGCCTTTAATGTGTGGACAACCACATAGTACGTAACTACCACCCAGATACCATATTCCACAAGTGAAGATGGAATACTGAAAATCCATGAAGGAAGTGGATAAACCCAACATGGGTAAAAGCACAAGTCCCTGTGCTTGTAAAGAACAGGAAGCTTGGCTATCACCATTGGAACCTCCATAAAGCCATTAAAAAGAATCATAACCATAGAAAAGTCGAGTGCACCAAGATAAATTCCTCCATCTTCTGATGTATCATGCATCGTTGCTCGGAAAAATACAGTCATCATGATCAGAATAATAAAAAGAAGCAATTTTGAGAAGCTCCGATCTCTTTACACCATAAGTGGAAGTTGACAGAGCTGCTGGATGACTATATCGTCTATCAAAAGGACGAAACATCTCTTTGGACAAAGAACTACCAACACAGAATGACTGAAAAGCTTCTGCAAACCTCGCCATATGTACATACTGGTAATTAAAATCAGAGAACCAGTACTGTTCTTGATCTTTTTCTGATATAACTTTTCAAAAAATCAGGTACATTTTTCCTATCTGGGCAACGAAACCCCGTAGACGCAAAGAATTCAAGAGCAGCCTCACGGGAGACGATGTTGTGGCCGGGCCGGGTGCTGCCGGCGGTGGTACTGGCCATGAAGTGTGCCAGTTAGCTTTTTGATGAAGTTATCACCGTTGTCCCTATTGCCATAGATGGACTCGCCACTGGAGAAAAAAATGCAAGCCTCCATTACAAGCACAACGCCGTTATCCTCTCCATCGGTGTCACCGTCAGAGATGATGCTCACGCCGTCGTCTTTATACTTGACAGCTTCAGTCTTTAGAATCTTAGTTTTGGATGAGTTTCCAAACTGACCCATATGACGTCCCCAAGCCCAGGCTACAATGAACACTTGCATATATACATATATGGCAGCCGCAAGCTTCTGCATGGTAGACTCCACCAGCACCAGCGATCCTTCTATGAGCTACGGGCCGAGAATTTTTTTTTTTTTTTTGCCCGCGTTAATGAAGATTGTGAGGTAGATGGCGACTGGAAACACCAACGTTAAGTACCAACAGCGTTAATCACCGTTTCGATTGTAAGCACCATTATTTTCGCCCCCATCAGCGACGTCAACGCCGGAGATGGTACTCCCATCGTTTTCTATATTTTCGTGTACCCAACAGTTTTGGGTTTTGTTGAGCTGAGCTATCGCCTACAGTTTGCACCGACAACAAACTGAAACTTGCCGGAGTGGATTGAATCTCGCCGCCATTAGAGAACTCTCGTCGGCGGCTTAAACTGCAACCTCGCCGGCAACTCACTGAAATTAAAACTTGCCAGAACAAGAATACGCCGGAACTATTTTGATTTTGGGTGAGCTTCAAAACTGACCCATGTGATGGCGTCAGCGAGCTCTATGCATCACATACATAGGCAAACCACTGGCGATGAGCTTGATTGTAGCATGGCCATCATTTTCCCGCTTCAACAGATTACAATCATTCGTCCCTGGGCTGGTGCTGGCCATAGAGAGAGTGTCGCAGTGTTTCTAAAATCACCGCTGGACAACGCGGTGGCATAGATATCGCCGGCGACTGTGTTTCCCGCCAGCATGGATGCCGTCGTCAGGTACGGAGAACTCCAAGTCGAAGAAGGGACCGTCGTCGTTATCGTTTTCGTCGGTCTCAGCTGTGTTATCATGACTTACGGCGGTGAAAATGGTTTTAGTGCCGGCAACGGTGGTGCGAGCAGAAAGACCGGCATCTAATGTGACAGAAGCTCCGCCGCCATCACCTCTCCAGTATTTGAGCAAGCTAGAAGCTTCCATAGTTGGGAGAGCCAGAATACAAATTGTTAGTAAAGTAAGTGAATTCTTCTGTGTTC